AATTAAAAATTGTTATTAAGCAGAGCTCGTATTATAGGGAATTCTTCGTCTCTTCAAAATGAAGCGGAAACTCTAATCAGAACTAGAATTGGAATTTTATTGGGGTACTAACTTCACACACGCATTTTTTAAAGATATTATAATAGAGAAAATTAAAAGATGTATAACCTGTGCGAGCGCGACGATCGAATGACCGATGAAAACGACGTAAAACCTATCGGGCTGAACGGAAAACGTTTTTATCCAGGCGCCCAGACAGTTTAAACCGGAGCCTAGGATAGTGGTCCATCGCAGACCGCATCTGTCTGTCACGTACGACGCCGGGAATATAAACGCCGCGTAAAACGCCATGAATGACATCGAGGTCCAGTCAACCGTCAACGAAGACACCCCATAATACCTAGATAATATAAAAAAAAAGCTGTGATATTTTTACACCCAAAACTGTTCGTATTTTGAGGAAAATGTGATACCTAGTAACTATGTTAGTTATAATTGAATATTCTATCCATTGAGACGAGTTCGCTCCAGAATAAAGCATGTAGATGGCCAGCATCAGCCACCTCTTTTTATACACCTTTAATTTTAACGGTTCAACGTCGGCTGGTCCGCTCGATTTCGTGATTTTTGTTGGATCTTTTACCGTGAGTACCTCGCTCAGACTTTTATCTTCCGTTATCTTCGTCATTTTCACTCTTTTGCAAAATTAATTTTGTAAAATATATCCTTGATATATGTAAAGCCAAGATATTTAATTACGGAATTTGTATAGCAGTAAATCAAATTGCACAAATTTTCAACGTTAATTACACTGTAAAAAAATTTCCTTGTCGAGTTTTGAATGGCGATCTTAGAAGTGGCGCGATTTAGGATCGTATTCCACGTTTCAAAATTCTTCACATTTCGCGAATTGAAAGTGACGGCGACGTGGTAAAACGATCGATGTTGATTGAAATTGAGATGAAATGTAACTGCGCGCCACGTAATATCTCTGTTGCAGAGTCAGATTCGTTTAATATATGACGCGACAAGTTTACCTTATCTATACGTGAACAAATAGAATGACATTATTAGCTCTAAGATTTAAGAAGCCAACAATCTGTACTTAGTCTTATCACGATTTTTATCAGACTCGAATGGTGTATTTTAGCAACTTTTTAAAACGTTTGTACGACAGCATATGTTATTCACCCTGCATCGAGCAATTTACGCGTATGCGGCGATATTACATGCATTACATTGCGACATAAAATGTATGTTATTGCATTTCCGTTCGAGTAATTTAGAATTATTGAGACAAAAATTTGATGTAAATCGCGCGAAGAGCCATTGGATCTAATAGAATTATACGAACGAGATAAACATCTAACTCATGTGACAATGAGATTTTCTAATGAGTTAATATCGGACTAAGATAAGACCCGTATGTTCGTAAATGAATTTGTTGATCTTTACATTCTAATTAAAAAAGGGAGAAGGAGAGAGAGAGAGACGAAAATTCATAATAGATTCACGATCGGTAGTTGATTCTGTTATCAAGATGTAAAGTTTGAAAATTCGTTTGACAAACATTATTGGATCTACAATCTGCATATTAAATAGGGAATTTGTATTTCCAGCACAAGATGTAATTCAGATTATGACAAAACACGGTATTTTTGGCTATATAAAAATAGATTATAATTGCAATTGATTCATTGTCTCATTATATACAAATTTTTTATCTCGATGAATGTCATTTCTTTACTTTTTATTATACAAGATTTTTTCGCGTTATAAACCAACAGTTTAATCAACATTTTTGTTTTTTTTTTCGTTTTTTGTTATAAGATTTACATTAGATATTAATAATAATAATTATTATTATTTAATGACGTATGACATAAAATATACATGCATTTATGTAACGTCACGTTATGTAACGTTAAAGTAAACCGTGCAAAATATACGATAATATTATTTGTACAAATAACACGTATATTTTACATTTGAGATAGAAGGTATGATATGAATATCATATCAATGCTAGCAAATAGCTCCACAGAGAGTTAATTAGTATGAAAAACTAGAAAATTACGTACGTCATGAAGTACGGCTTATTGCACGCTCAATTGTGACGTAATACATATCTCGCTTGGGAATTTGCTAGCGTAAAAAAAAAAGGGAAAGATGCGAAGGAATTACGAGAATATTGCAATACTCACGTTGGGAGAACACACGTCGTTCTAGAAGAAGCAGGGGAATGTATCTTACTTCGCGCGCGGAGGTAAGCTACTAAATTGAACTTTATGCATTGTACATCGGGGGATTTCGGTATTGCGATATCGGCCTCGTGCCCCGCGGGTTTCTCTGTGAGAAAAGATGTACTCAGTAACACGCAATACGTTTTCCATCGACGTGAGAATTTCCACGCGTCAGAATTTTTGTGTCACTGGTATAAACTCGATACGCGACGGCACATCCTTCCAGCGCGGTGATTCGGATATGAAACTGCGAACGTCGCTCGCAGTCGGTTTAATGGGTGAAGATAAAATCTACCCGCGCCACGAGATCCCGCGATATCTCTTTTGCCTTTTACATTCGATATGTAGGACTTATATATTATATCGGAATAAATATTTTATCCGTTGCAGAATTTATAAGCAAGAAAAAGATAATTTTATAAATTGAATTTCATACACGATTTGCTTTGTAGTGGATAATACAATAATAATAGCTCGAGGTTATTGAAGCACAACTTGTAATCACCACTTTAAAAGAACTTCAGAAATGTAATGTCCATGTTAAATTAGTGTTTCAATATTTTTGTTTTAAAAACATATTTATATGCTAATTTGATTTTCATAATTGTTTTAAAAGAAATATCAAATAATGTTTATTTTATGCATTTCTCTCTGCTGTCTACCTCCTTGTTAAAAAATGTAAGCGGCAAAATCCGCTTTGTATCGAGTTGGCGTTTTCTCATCTTACAATTAGTTAGTTGTTTGAAACATTCCACGGGCGATTCAGATTAATAATTGTTCGTTAACTTACCTGGGAGACGAGAAGTGAATGTAATGCTTTGTAAATAACAGAATTTTATTGGACGTTATACGTTAACAATAAAGGCGACGCAAATGTAATCCTCTTATTCTTACATAGATCTAGAGTTTATTAAAATTAAACAGCTCTAATGAAATTCTTCTTTACCAATCCATTCAAATTTTTAAATGCATTGTTATTATTTGAATTTGCGTACAATGATGCATATCAAAAAAATTGGAGATTGAAATTCTGAAAGAAACGTCGTAATAGAAACGTGCATTTTCATTGTAAAAATATGTGATTCGTGCTCATTGCCTTCCGTATATAACTGAGTATTTTGCGTTACACGCGTATACGTTTAATACATTGAAGAAACTTTATCGTTATCTATACTTTTTTTTCGTTTTGCACATATTCTCCGATTATTTCTTTTCGATGAGAGTCTACGTGAATATGTTACAAATGATCGATTGCTATTATCGTATAATTCAAGGAAATGATCGTCCGGAGTTTTTATATAAATGTTCGGTTAAATCTATACACATATTCTAAGGGTTATTCGACTTCTTATTACTGTTTAATGTTTTACAGTTTTCTTGAACGCTTGAGATCGCGGTATTATAATCGGTATTAAAGTATGTATACAGTGTTCATTACAAACTATTCAATTCACCGAGCAACAGTTCATAGGGCGATGTCTCAAATATAAAAATTGGTGAAAAATCACTTTACACTCCTAGCGTTAAGTTATTACACAGATACGATTCATACATATATATCGAGTTTATGCATATCGTTATGATGGCTAGTTTCGAACAGGTGTATATATATATATATATATATATATATATATATATATATCGTCGTCGGACGTACGTTTCGCGTTGTTTAAATTAGATTTGAAAATTTTCAAAATGTGTTTTTCAAATGAGTCGCTCTATATACGTATATACGTACATATACGTATATATGTATAGAGAGAAAGAGAGAGAAAAATAACGCATTTTTATATATTTTATATAGGAATATCTTTCCGGGTTTTGCGGTTTCGGGGAAGCATATTGGTTTATCAAATTAATAATTTAGGCCACAGCACTAACAAATAATTTCAAATATTTGAGTAATTTAAATAGCCACCAAATTGTGCCGTTCAATATACTTTAATGAAGAGGGTTCAAATCGATACCGTGATTGCGAGAGCAAAAACCTTTTACAAGATTGGCAGACCGATGTTGTGTTGGCAGTATTTTCTATTAATATCGCGGGCCAAATAAATTTATTTTTCATAAACTGTGCGCTCGAGTGGCAATATTACTTGTATATTTACGATGACAGTAATAAAACTTTGTAAATACATCTGTGTTTGAATGCTGAATGATTGCATTACACGATAATTGAATATCGATGTAAAAGAGATATATATGTCCCGTTACTTCATTTATTTAATTTTTATCCAACTTTGAAAAGTCTACGTTTCTCTGATGATGACACATTTCGTCCGTTCCCCTCACATTGCGCTGCAAAATATTTCAAGATTATATTTCACTTTTTTTTTAATGCAACGCTTTCGAGAACAATAAAATGGAAAAAGTGCAACTTTCTCTTTTTCAGAATGAAATCTGACACGTTGTGAACACATTTTCGTATCTGTTTTAAAAAGAAGGATTATATATTATTATATATATCTCGTTCGAAAAGGTTATTCGATCGTAAAAGATACACCCTGTAGAAACATGTGATATATAGAAAACGCCGAGATTTATCACTCAAGCTTTAACTTACATTCTTGATTCTGTGATAAATTTGAAATCGATTTTTTCACAGCAAAAATTCTACGGATACCCATACACCTTTTTCACAGTCCTCTAATGTGGATGGTGGCAAATCTTGGTAAAAATACCGATCTTGAAATTTTATTAAAATAACTTGATTTCAACCAAATTGTACTTCAATAGAAGTCTAATTTGAAACTTTGCAAGGATTTAATATTCAATATTATAAAGATATAAAAAAAAGAGGCTGGCGCTCAATTGAATTTCCGCCGCGGTAAAATCGAATTTAAATTGATCAAAGAATTTGTAAATGAAAGAAAGTATTAAGATTCCCTAAGGGGAATCTATGGCACTCCGCATATATATCGATGAATAGAGCGAATCGTGGTTAGGACGCAAAGCGACGCGATTGAATTGATCGGAATACGCATGCGGTAAAAGAAAAGCGATTTGCATTGGACCGTGGAGGAACGTTGACGAATAAAAAAAAATACGATAAGACGTATCACCGTGGAAGCGCGCAGGTCTCGTTCTATTCACGTGTTACAGCGAACAGTATAAATCGCCATTAATCAATTAGGCGCGACCGAATCAGACTGCGATTTTATTACAGCGCCGTCGAACGTGCGTTTAATATGCATATTTTTTTTTCTCGCGTAACTCATGCTCTCTCGCGTAAGGTAAATTGAACACAATTTTCCAAACGATTGCAGAATTGGTTTTCTCAACCAGTATTCGATGAAAACATGTTATCGCAATTAATTATTCATGACTGACGAAAGTCGATAATATTAATTAATAATACAAGAATACAAAGGTACATTATTTACAAGACAATCTCCTCGACGACATAATCACTGGACTGTGTCCGCGGCTAAGCGGGTGTGACATTTGGTTTACTGTCGATCTGTACAAATAACTACTCGTCATTTCTTGTAACTTACAAATTTACAAACGCATGTAGGAAGATATCCGAGAGTAATATGCGTCAACGGAATTACATACTCTAGCGCCGCTTAATTATTAATAATTATGTAACAATAATACGGAACAGACGGGAATTATGTTTGGATATGTTTTTCTCTTTTTTTTTCTTCTTAATTTAACATTTAACAAGATTTCCTCTTTCTATCGCCACGGTTCGTGCGTTATTTCCGTGATTTGATCCCAGAACACATGCCGATAGCTTGTATAATTGTACATCGTATCAATAATCTCGTGTATAAAGATATTTATAAATTTACAGATATCGAAAAATTTTCCTTTAAAATTTTGCCACATGTCCTACCAAGTTCGTACGCCGTCGTCGTATCCGGCGCGAGTGAATGAGAACGAGTGATTTTACCGGCCTTTCCCTCAAACGTTCGGATGTTCTAACCAAAGTTCTAATCCTATCTGAGAAGGTCTAATTCGTAATATTGGTATATGGCATATGAAATGATACGGAATATTGGAAGCAGCGTAGTAACATAAATAATCGCATTACATATAAAGAGAATATATTAAGTATACCCAATTCCAGACGTTCCTTGGAAGCGCGTCTGAACATATTGCATAAACGTATTCGCAAGATATACGATTGTGCATCTCGACTGTAATGCGAAGGATTTTTAGCTTTTTGCACACATCGGACAAATCCCATCACGCTCATCTCAATTATGCAAGGACTCGTAATGAAGCCGCGTATTTTCGCAAGCAAAATTGATAAACAGTGGATTTTGAGTTACGGCAAATATAATTAGAATATAAGCACTAGTTTTCCGTCGCGTAATTTTTCCGACAAATTCTTCGAGCTTGGTGTTTGAATGACATCAAGCGATTTATCTAAAACCTTTGAATTTTTTTTCGTAGAAGCGTTCAGCGGATAATTAATTTTCAGCGAGAAAAGTTTTTTTTTTTCATATGTGTGCCAATTACGCCTGTACGAACAAACGCATTACGCGGCGCAGAGTCGTAACTCGTTAAATTCGTTCCACACGCGGGAATTATAATCCTACAGATTTATTATGGCAACGTGTGTGTTTCCGATTGAAACCGAATTTAACGAGTTTTAACGAGCTATATCTATCGAGATATATCATCGCTCGTTAAATGTATCTTATCATTGCATCTCCCCGAGAAAGCTGAAGTAGAATCTCTATGAAATGAAAAGTGAAACGGGAAAGGGTTAAAGCAGTTCCTCATTATCGTCCGAAGTACCATACATCTGCGGTCTCCTGTCCAAAACTCGCTGCTGCTGCTGCTGCTGCTGCCGTTGTTGTTGTTGTTGTTGCTGCTGTTGTTTTTGAAGAAGCGCGATACTGGCGGCTTTATAGTTAATCGGCCCGTACGACTTGTAGTCCACGTCCGCATAATCGAGATCCGAGAATTCCGGCTTGAAGGGCTGCATAAACAGAAAAGCGTGACGAACATCACGGAAACGAAAATGGCCCATTGTCCAAACAATACGAAACGCTTAAAAGATATCGTGATTTCTGGCGGTGCTTTTAAGATATTTCTAATTCCTCCGTTTTTACAGGGAAATTTCTCCAACATACGAATTAAATGAATTTTATTTGGAACAAATAAACTTTCGTTGCTGGTACCAACTCGATTATTGTGTTTGTCGCGATATTTAATTAAACATCTTATTTATATTTTTAATCGTGTAAAATAGGTTTTTATTTCTTACCATAATTCTACGAAAAAGATTTTTGAAAGTAAAATCTTGATAGTTGAAAGACTCGAAACGTCTCTTAAACTTTCGTATTGTTTGAGTTCTAATCGCGCTGCTGCGGACGATTGCGCACACAAGAGAGTTTTATGGCGGACTGTTCGTGAAGTTTCGTAACAGACCTGCTGTGCCAGCGATCGACAAATGGCTGGTACCATTTCGGGTGTTAAGCCTTCCCGTTCGTGATCGATGTCAGTCAATTAGACAATGACGCGCGCCCGGGGCGAGTACATGAGTTAAACGGAGATCTTATTGAAGGGCTGAGAGAATTACGAACGGGTCTATTCGTTGCTAAAACCATCTGGCAAGATAATCCTCTTATTCTCAGCTCATCAATTGTTATAAGATCAAGTGTAGTCGTGATAAGTGTTATCATGCTGCATGCGCTGGTCTCTCGGCTTTATACATATATATTAAGCGTGGTTCGGAATTGCGAGGACTGTTGTTCGAACTATTATACTCGATGTTGCTTAATTGGTTCGAAGCTCTTATTGTTGTACGTAGCAAGAGCGACGATTGTAGTAGATACCGTGATAATCTACAATTGGCCAAGATTTACGTTTGCAGTATATATATATATATATATATATATATATATATACTTATATATATATATATATATACTGCAAACGTAAATCTTACAATATATATATATGTATATATATATATATATATATATATATATATATATATGAAGAAGATAGACGGCCATTTCTACCGCGATGAACATAAAGCATATTATTATGCGACGTAGTCTCGATACTTCAAAATTATAACAGCAGATATTCTAATAACTTGCTTTTTTTTTTGCCATCAAGCAAATCTATTTATAGTCAATAGAATATGCGCCGGATTTATGCGCGTACTTTTTAACAGGATTGAAGTAATTGCGATAACGTACAGAGGCTTTTACATATAAGCGGGCAATTGGAAACAACTTGCGAGAGAGGATATAGCACGTGTAAACAGTATGTTAATTCGAGGAGATACTGAGATATCGTTTTAACTTTACGAGCTCGGGTTCGGCATTTCCCTCGCGCGAGTGGGCATTTCGTATTTGTAGTATCTCGAATTACGTATGTAAGCAGCGTGACGTACTCCGTACAATGTACCTACAGGGCTTGTCGGACGCCAAATTGTCCTAGTAAATGTACGTATCGCTCTTTGTCAGCTGACCCTCCTACGAACAAACATTGAGATATACAATTGGTATGGTGTATACGCATGCAGTGGACCCTTCCTCGCGCATTGCGCTTTTTACGTCGGCTGCCTCACGGGCAGAGGGAGGGGGGGGGAGGGGAGGGTATGTACGTTATTCGCGAGATACCATAGATACGGAGATACATGCAAGGTGTACAGCGACCGAAGCTGTTTTGACGATTTAATTCGTTTCCAATGCGATGCGGAAACAACACGGCAACTATTGGCAGTTTGTACGAACGGAATTGAAAAATAGAGCATAAATAATTTTTACTACAGGCTACCGCTGAGATGAAAACGTTCGGTACGAACTGTCTCGGTATCGTTTCGTGTCCAATTTCTTAAGACTTTTAATGCGCGAATATTGCGCCATTCTTCGCGACTATAAATGTTGCACTTTTGTGCGCGGTTTTTATTAAAAAAAAATAAAATAAAATACGACGCAAAAAATTTACGACGATTCGACATTACGTATAGAAGTTTGCGGCGTAGAGCCCGTAAAAAAAACACAAGGAAATAAAACGGAGCAAACTGCGTCAGCAGTGTATATATATCGTATCGTGTGTACCGTATTTGTAGAATATATACGTCTTGCAATTCGATAGTTTTTAACTTGATAGAAAATACCAACTTGATATTATTGCTCGAGTCTTTCGGGATATCCTTTTTGTATACTTTGCTTTGGGTTGTGCTTATCAAATTAGATAATTTGCTACGAGCCGAATCAATACAATACAATACGTGATCGCACATGTATGTATTGCATTGTCCGTCGCTTATAAAGTTTCTCTACGATAGGGATGCTCAAACTGACGCGCGATTTTAATCTTTCACATCTGAACGGCTTTTTTTTTTATTTGGCGGAACAGATACGCACGCAAAACATTTTTTTTTACGGATTAGAACTTTTTTTTTTTAATTAGATATATTGAAAACACATATGCAACATTTCGTGTCCTCGATTGATTGCCGGGTAATCGATCTGCATGTTTGCAGTAATGCTTTATGTCGCTCAGTATTACCGTTTTTGCGCATGAAGTTTTATAGCATTATTGATTTAAAGCACGATTTATTAATAATAAAAAAATGTTGGAATATTCAACTTGAAAGTGAATCCTAAATTTTATCGACAATTCTACTTTGCAACATATCGAACCACGCTGTGCGATCATAAAAAAATGTGTATATTTAAAGAAAAAGAGTGTTTGATGTGATATTATAAGAAACGGTAAAATTATATGATTAATTAGAAAAATTACAACATATCATGATAATATAAAGTTGTACGATGTGTGCAATTTTTTTTCCACGATCTATCAAATTATGGTATCTTCCTACAAAATTATTTATCAAAGCACAGAGTATGCCGTGCGTTGTAAAATTATAATATTAATTTAAATGCAAGAAAAAGATATTTAAAACCAATACCTGAAAGTCAAAACAAGTACAAATAAATCGATGCAAAAGCAGCGGGGGCAGCTAAAGATCAAGGCAGAAAAGTCGAGATATAAGAACGCTAGAAGGAGGATATGTGGATAATCGGCAAAGTAAGCAGAGTAGAAGAGAAATTTGAGAGGAGGCAGTATATTTCCCTACCTTTGAATACGACGTCTGTATACGTAGAGAATAATGCATGTAGAAAATCTTAAAGGAAAATCTATATTCGGCACGCGCGGGGGGGTGCGTTACCTTTAAGACGTGGTAGCATGAGTAGCGGTACACCGAGCCTCGGGGCCTTACAACAAATTGCCACGGCATTCCTCGGAAAAAATGCGATCGCCCGCGTTCTTCGTAAAGCACATCCGCGCCGTTGTGCGCACCAGCAGGGGATTCGGGATCACTAACCTTTAGACATCGATCTCCTGACCGACATCCCGGAAGTGAAACTCGGCGTACTGCATTATCGTGGGCGCGGACGGTATGCTGCGGGTGTCGCCGAGCCTTGTCTTTGACGTTTTGCTCCGATTTTTCGCGTCAACCGCGTCGGTTGCGAATTGAGGCGCGTTATTGCCAGTGGAGCGATTCGATTGATGCTCCCACGGCGGCTGCTGCTGCTGCTGTTGTTGTTGCTGCTGCTGCTGCTGCTGACGCGCCGTCGTCGCCGAGTTTGGTCTGTGATAGTCGGTGGAGCACTCCGCGATGTCGTCCTCGTAGTAATGCGGATACGAGATCTTGTACGTCGTCTCGGGCACGCCCAGATCCGGGATTTGGTGGAAGCTCGTCTCGCAATCGGGTGTGTCGGCGAAGGAAGCGTTGCTACGCCGTGATGGAGTGTCTCTCTGCCGGCTCTGCTTCGACTTGCTCCGATCGCTCGACGTTCGCTCGTGCTTCCGGTACTTCCGATTACGCTCGTTCCGCCGATTCGTCGCGTGTCGTCGCGACGATGATTGTCTCGCGTCGTGATTGCCGTAATTCGGCGGCTGCTGTTGTTGCTGCTGCTGCTGCTGCTGCTGCTCGTGCTCCTCATCCCGATGCACCGCAGGCAAGTGATTGCCAATGGTGGCAGCCTCGTGGTGCATCAGGGTGGACGGCCGGCTGTTGTTAGTGTGGACGAGGGAGGTCTGCAGGGGACTAAGTATCGAGGAATGATAGAGGCTGCGCGTTAGTGGCAGTGTTAGTTGATTCGAACTGTTGCTCGGTAAGGGGTAGCTGTACTGCTGCATCTCCTGCCGATGCTGCTGCTGGTAGTGTTCTTTGTAGTTGTATAGGCTGTCGGTCTGTAACAGGCATGGTTAGTAGTTGGAACCAGGCAATTCGGGGACGCGATATGGTTAACGCGACGTAGAGTGTGCGTGAGCAAATCGGACAACTGAGATATTACTTCTTCGGTTTTTTTTTTAAATATTAGAAAGAAGGTCTGTACAAGTCCATAAATTACACCATGTTGTCAAATATAGAGCACATAGAGTTTAGTGCAGTGTAGTTATATAGTACATATATGTAAGTACCTAAAGTCATATCGATTTTATCAATAGGTGCACGGGATTATTTTACGTAGGAAATTCGATGTGCAAACACAAGTACGCGTTCAAGGAACAGTAGAATAAAACTTCCGGTGTTCACATTTTAGGACACATTTTATAAAGGATTCTACAAATGCATGATGTAGATCTTGAATATCGCACGCTCGAGAAATTTTCATTGACGGTGTTCATCGGTGTGTCTGATACAGTTACAAACGAATTGTATCAGATTTACGCTGTCGATCGATAAGTGCAGGAAGAGACATCTTTGTCGCAGAATCGTGTCGCGGACACCTTTTTTATCGTAGGTGAAAACGAGGGAGCGGAGAGCAGAGAGACCACGTCGTGAAAAGCCTCGAAGTAATATCTCAGGTTTATCGGTGTTCGAAACAATAAAACAGCTCGTGTCATCGGTTAAGCGTGTGTGACAGTGGAAACTTACTTGACGCGCGGCCAACATGCACAAGGGCGGTCGCTACATAGATGCCCGGATCCAGCTTAGCAGGG